AATATCTTGCATATCACCATAGAACCTTCATCTGGAGATGGATAGCCAGAACATGAAGTAGGATCAAAACCCAGTGGCATTGAGCTCCCAATGTCCCAAGGAGGAGCAGAAGGAGGGAAAATATGAGCAAAGAAGTCAGGACCACGAGGGGTGCACCCACCCACGGAGACAGTGGGGCTGATCTATTGTGACCTCACCAAGGCCAGCTGGACTACGACTGAAAAACCATGGGATAAAACCGGACTCTCTGAATATGGTGGACAATGAGGGCTGCTGAGAAGCCAAGGACAATGCCACAGGTTTATCTTCTTAAACCTACCAGGCAAGATGCTTTTCTGGATTTAACATAGAGGTGAGGTTCTTTACAGCAATGTCCTTGAGAAACCTGCCACTGCTACTACAGGTCTCTAAAGGCTGGTGGTTATAGAGCATAAATTATCTTCTCTAGTAGAAGCCGCTGTGAGCACTTTTAAGCTTCCTATTAAGTCATACTAGAATGAATGAAAATATATCTTTTTTCATTCATCAGAAACAAGAGCTGAGGGCTAGGGGTGGGACAGGCATTTCATACCTGCTTAGGCCCAGGTGCCACAAATGTGTAAAACTTCTGCTGGTATTCTTGGATTTGAACACGTTTAAGCAGTTATTTGTAACACACCCCCCTGTAGTGATGAGGCAAGTAGGCCTGCTTTTCGTCCGGCCGGGCTAGCTTTACACAAGAAATAACAACACACTGATGTAGGTGGGTCATCTGTCTATCTGTTGCTTTCATTGGTTAATTAATAAAGAAACTGCTTGGGCTGATAGGTCAGAACATAGGTGGGTGGAGTAGACAGAATAGAATGCTGGGAAGAAGGGAAGTGAAGGCAGACACCATGGATCCAGCCGCCAGGTCAGACATACTGAATCTTTCCCGGTGAGCCACCACTTCGTGGTGCTACACAGATTATTAGAAATGGGTTAATCAAGACGTGAGAATTAGCCAATAAGAGGGTAGAACGGGCCAGGCAGTGTTTAAATGAATACAATTTGTGTGTTGTTATTTCGTGTGTAAAGCTAGCCGTGCAGGAGCCAGGCAGGACCAAAAGCAGGCCTGCCCACAGCTCATCACTACACCACCCCACCCTTTCTCCATGTTTACCCTGCAGTCCACACCAGAACTGGCAGTTTCCTACCAGCAAAACAGTTATACCCCCCAGCCTCACTGACACACTACACATCTACTTTGGAGAACAATGGGTTTGTATTAATCCCCCTTGAGAGCAGCTAACTGCATGTGATAGGCCCCAATGCTAATATAAGACACAAAATTGCCAAAGGAAAAGCAAATTTCAAATAGGACAGAGAGATTCCCATTTTTATTAAAAATATTTTCATTTTTGTTCTGCCAGCTAAGATTATTATCAGTTAGTAAACCCAACAGAAATACTTTTAAAAAGCTACAAATCACATTCTTCTCCCAACAATGAACAAATCCATTCTTCAAAAGAAAATGAACATTAAAACAGGAGGGTATGGGAATGCTTTGGCTCCCCCCTACAAACACAACACCACACAGAATGCTAGCCCAAGCACCATGGACACCACAAGACCAGCAAGACACATACCAGAATAGAACAGCCCTCACAAAATACTGCAGATAAGAATTCCCCAGTGAACATGGTTTAATTACATTTCTTCTTTTACTCACAGAAGGTCCTATGCTATTTTATTCAGCAGATTTAATTTTTACAAACATTAAAAAAAGCAAACTAGGAGAGGACTATCTATGGCATTGTTTAAAATGGCCACTAATAAACAGCTGCAGACAGTTACTAGGCAGTTTCATGTCTGAAGGTGTGTTCCCCCACTCAAGCAGAGGGGTCAGTGGCAAAAACCTGCTTTTCATCTTACATATCCTTAAAACAGGACAGGACAAGATGGCCACACCCTAACCACTGAGATCACAAGTGGCAGCTAAAGTGTACCAGAACTCTGTATTCTGTTTGGGACCTCTGTTCTACTCCCTCAACAAAATGTTTTCTCAATAAGGCTTTCTTTTCTTCTCCCAGCTTGACATAATGCTTCAAGTTGCTTTTACTATTCAGACATATCTTCCACCACTTTTACTTTCTTCTTCTTTTTCTTTTTGCTGGTATCACTGTCCTAAAGAAAGAAAAAAATAAGTACCCATTGCCAAAACATTTATAACTCTTCCCAAAAAAAAAAAATCTTGTAAATTACAGATAAGTCTGTTCAGGATCTTTAAGGACATTTGGGATTAAACAAATTTTGCCTGTGAACTACTTCTCAGTAAAGTCCTAGAGATCTACTTTCACAAGGGCATTGAGCAATTAAGATACACTCTTCCCCACCAACCAGCAACATAATTCAAATCAAGATCCATTGCTCTAAAATGCTGGGTGCTCCTACATGTCTGTCCACAGAGGGGCGGGGGTGTGTGGACAGATAGGGAAAATCCAAAATACAGGGCAGCCCAAAAGAGGAAATGGTGGAACCCCATTCCTGCACCACAATCCCTATCAAAGACTCAGCCAGCACAAAGGTACCCAATGTTTATACATACCCCATGTCCAGCTTCGCCCCCACTTTCTAGCACAGTTTTAGGCTTCTTATCCTTCTTATTCTTCTTTTCCTTCTTCATTAACTGGGAAACTACTGGAGAGTTCTCATCACTTTCACTCTCCCGCTTCCTCTGAGATAGAAAAATAATTCATCCAGTTAGAAATGTTGGAAGTTACCACAAAAGATTCCAAGTAAACCCAGCAGTAAATTTTGTGTCTATAGACTTGAATAGTGCCTGACTTATTAAAGATTTGAAGACAGTATCTCACTAAATAATAGTACAGAGTAAACCATGGGACATAATAGGTGTGCCAATGCAGTTTGGGGTATAGAAGACCTTAAAAAGGCTGCCTCAGTAAACTAACTCCTTGCTCTCTTAGGTGCTCAAATAGGCACAAATCACCAGTTCAACCCACATAGCTTATTACTAGTCACCCAGGTTTCTAACTGCAGACATACCATTTGGGATTATAATGACAGTGGCCCCCAACCTTGGTGAGCCAAGTTACCAACATATTCTTCACTCTTCCTTTAAAGAGTAAGATAGTATTGACTGAAGATCTTTGCTGGTATCTGACAATTCTGCCCCCTGCTGAGTTTACTAAGGGCCTCTGACTTCAGCACATTTATGCTACCTATCATTTAACCCAGGGTAAAGGCAAAATGTATCACATTCCATACAAGTTTATTGCCACAGCGGAGGTAGGAGCCTAGGTCTGATTCTTAAGCCCACACTCCCCCTACAACCTCAAGTATCAAACAATATTTGTGTGTGGACTACAGCATGGATAAAGCCTTCCTTGGTAGCTAAGACTTTTTTTTTTATTAGTTTTCAAGACAGAGTTTCTCTATGTAGCTCTGGTACTTGGTCTGTAGACCTGACAAGCTAGCCTGGCTTAAAGCACATTTCAAACAGGTCATACCACTTACTTTTATGACTTTTACTGCATCAGCAGTTAGTTGAGGGGTTTGTATTGCTTCAGCAACCAGTGTTTTCCTGCCAGAATCACTGAAAGACAAAGAGGTAATATGAGGTTAAATTCATGGAAGAGCTTTCCATGGTGGTTCTATCATGTCACATGCCCTGTTATTCAGTGATACTGGGCAACCCTAAAGGGATTCTCTCCATAGTCCATACCCTGACTAGTAGGTAGGACCAAGCCTGTATAATAGTAGTTACCTAGGCTTCATAGAGCAAAAGAAGGAAAAGAAAGCTGAGCTGCAGTGTTAGGACCTATGGCCTAGCATTTAGCAGCTGCCCCCAAATAAAAGTTTCCAACTCCCCTTGGCTATCTGGTCTCCTGTCTCACTTATTATCAAAGACCAAATGGTAAGTATCACCCCAGTCCCAGGCACTATCCTTACCTGTAGTCAATGTAGTCCTGTTTCCAGGTGGCAGGAGTGTTATCTGTGGGTTTGCCATGCTTGTCCAGAAGGCCCTGCTTGATCATCATCTTCTTCTGACTTGCCTAGAGCATTTCAAACATTAGATTATTATCAATACAAGAAGTAGCCAGTATGTTCACAATATCTAACTTT